GCGTACAAAGGCGTTCGACGTACATTCTCCGTTTTTCCGATTGTTACTAATTTTTGACTTTTCGTAGCCCCCTTTAAGGCGCCGTTTCCCATCTCGACAAATATCATGAACACCTACCACAATCAGCACAAACAAATAGACCTTGTAGAAAGAACAGTGTAATAACGAAGGCGTCCGAATGATGTAGATTATAACCAGGATAAGCAGTATTAATGACGGTATTCCGTAAGAGGCATACACCAGAAAATATTCTAGCATGACGCCGTAAGAGATACGTTTGAAGATCCCACTCGGAGTGATTTAAGTAGGACTGAAAATGCCAATTGCTAGATTGGCCAAACCACTAGTGTGGGCGCGTCTAATTGCGCCCCGCCCTACCGTTACTACCGGATATATCGGGCCCAAGAATTTTAAGTCCGGCACCATCGTCTTTAATTGTAGGTGACACCGGAAAGTTCGCTAAACGGCAGTGCACATCCGGGAAGCTACCGTCATTAATTGGGGGGCTTGATTTGTTGGGATTTTTGGACTTTGTTTTGGGCGTATGTGGGAAGGTTAGTATAATTCTGTAGGGTGCCACTTGATGCTGATTTTGTCAAATCTTTTGTTTGGCCTGGTAGACAGCCGGCTATATACAGAGTGTCCCAAACCCCCCCCCCCCCTCTCGGCATTTGGCCGTCTTCTATCGGCTCGGGGCCAAATTTTTACCAGTGATGGGGGCCCATAAAGACTATGTGCAGCCGAATTTTCTAAGCAAAATATTGTAAAACCAAAAAGTTATCGCTAAAAAACTGATTTTTGGAAAACGCTGCTACTCGTTTTTGGCTATGTTTTCGCAATTCGCATGCGGATTTTGAGTAATTTTCCAAAAAATGGTCATTTCTCGGTCAGTTTCTGGCCATTTCGATAATAAAAAATGATCAAAAGGCCCAATTTAAACGTAATTTTCGTAAATCAAAAAATTTCTACAGGTAGAAAAGAGTGCCCTCTTCATTTTTGCTAAACATTTCGAGGCCGAAATCCGTCAAAATCCTAGTGAAATCGGCAAAATAAACCTTAATTTTGATATATCTTTTTTGTTTTACAATATTTTGCTTCGAAAATTCGGCTGCACATAGTTTTTATGGGTCCCCATCACTGGTAAAAATTTGGTCCCGTTTGGATGCAAGACGGCCAAATGCCGAGGGGGGGGCTTTTTTTGGGACACCCTGTATTTTTGCGTAATCTGGCTGGATACAAGTTGCAACAATTTTCAAAACCATGTTTTTATTGAAATGCGCTATTTTACAACGCATTTAAAAACATTAAGGAACCGCCTCTGCATGTAATTAACGGCTACTTCCGGTCATTTTGTATGGAGGATTTGAGGCAAATTAGCTCGTATGCAACCCCGAAAAGCGGTAAAATTTTACAAAATAGCTTGTAAATGGCTCATCTAAATAAAAAACATGGTTTTCCAGATTTGTGCAAACTCGTGCTTTCAAGCGCTTTCGAATGTGATAACTATCGCGCCGATCCGATACTTCTGCGTCGAGTGAGAGAGCGTGTTTTTCTATTGGGCCACCCGGTAGATACACACTTTATTAAATAATCGTAATCGGCTGAGCAAATGGTCTCGTGACTTCTTGGCGCGTGGTTTTTGGCACACCAGAATGAATCGAGGAGCCGCTGCGGTGCATCGAAGTGAAAAACATTTTCACCAGGTATCCGCGCAGCGTTCGGTTCAAAATTATCCCAATCCACGCTTCGCTCAACGTCGAACAGTCCGATACGACGTTTAGCTGAAAAAACGATACCTTAAGATTAAGAATCAGCGCTTTATAATAGTAAAAAAATTGAGGAAGTTGCAAAATTTACCAAAAACGGTTTCATCTGCGGGCTTAGACCAATCTTGGCATTGTACAGCTAAAAAATAGCTATATCACTGAAGTGATATCAACCGACCAGATAAAACATTAACAAAAGCTGAACGGCTAGGGTAGCTAGGCTGATAAAGATCAGGTTGATTTCGAGGGCATTTCCGGTTGTGATTGATTCTAAAAATAAAAAGTCTCTTGGGCTTCAGAAGTAATAGATTTGGTATTTGAAAATAATAGAAACTACATTACTTGGAAATTCCCAACTTCCGCTTTGGCTTGGCAAAATAATCACTGGTTTTTTCGGTTTTCTGACACGATAGGCTTACAAGGAGTCGTTTTTAGGTGATATTGGAGTTTTTGAGCGAGACCTAGCTAGTTCGATAGAGAAAAAAATTCTGAGCAAGATGTTGTTTTCCAAATCTGCTAACCGTGTATTGTATTCGATAAAAATGAATTTTAATGAAAAAATTCCGTGGCGCCACGCTGCCACGCTTGGATCAGGCCCGGGACATAGGCCGCAATGCGAACCAGCATCCGCATGAGATAGTGGCGTAGTGGTTAGTGCAGGCGCCTACCAAACTTTTGCAAATTTATGCTCGGAGTTCGGAACTTTTTTTGATTAGCTGTTTTGCTTTTTGGTTTTAAACGCAATTGAGGTCATATTTGGCATCACAGAGCAAAAAGCAAAAGAGTTTCACTAGCTAGGAGTCGAACCCGAAGGCAAAAAAAAGAAAAAACTTGTGAGGCAAGTGCACTACCAATATGCCACGCGATCGTGGTGGTTCAAGGGTCTGAAGGGGGCTATGTTCACGCGCACCAACAGCGCCAAAACTGCGGATCAGGTGAAAAATGATGGCGAAATTAATGATTTTCAAATTAATTTTTATCGAATACAATACACGGTTAGCAGATTTGGAAAACGACATCTTGCTCAGAATTTTTTTCTCTATCGAACTAGCTAGGTCTCGCTCAAAAACTCCAATATCACCTAAAAACGACTCCTTGTTAGGTTTCGGCATTCTGGGAATTTCCGATAGTTTCAAAACAACATTCCATAGAGGGTCAAAGCATGCTAAGAGGTTTTTGCCCGTAAAACATTTTTCAGATTATTTTTATTGCAACAAAACTTTGATTCCCCGTAATGCTGTGAGTACCTAGTTTTCGAAAAAGTATTTTCCAGGTTATCGATTTATATAGAACCATCTTTTTTTTAAGTACCAACCTCCCGCTCTTCCACCTCATATACACCAACTTTGCAAACGTCCCCGAGCAAATGACTAGAGATGGTAAAGGGTAGATTTGGCTGGCTTGCCCGATGATGAAGTAGGTTTGAAGCAATTGCTGGAAATCGTACATACCATTAAATAAGATTACTTACATAGATCGCCAACGGGTTGCTGATCGCGAAGTCTCCAGACTTGACGAAAATCTCGTCAACGGAAAGGGCTTGATAGCAAAGCGCATTGCCGATGAGGAACAGGATTAGGGAGATGGCGACGATATTACGGGTTCGCCACATCTGAAGATATATCCATGTGCGTTGCTCCTTTTTATCTATTTTGTGTGCGTGCGCTTAGCGCAAGGTCCTAACCTTTCCATTTTGTACTACCAACTCATACCTGATTATACGCCACCGGTGTCCATACAATCGTGAACCGGTTAAGGTGCATCATGATGAGGGCGAAATTTTGGCAGTGAAAAGCCCCGAGTTGCCACATGTAAAAGACACGGATTTGCGGAAATGCCTCGTCGAGGCCCGCGTAAAAATCGGCTACGACGGAGAGTTCTCGAAATTTTATGGTGATGTAGGTGTTCACATAGGTGGCGAAGTGCTAAAACAGAGGCATTAAATTTGTATATCCGCTATCATGTGGTTGTACGCTTTTTATGCCAGATAATCGGGCGTAAAGCCCGGCATAAAGTTCGGCTTAAATTTGGGCTCGGCTTACAATTTGGCTTGTTAGGCTTAGGCTTGGGCTTAGGCTTAGGCTTGACTCAGGCCTGACTTAGGCTTGGCTTAGGCTTGGGCTTAGACTTACCACAATCAGCACATACAAATAAACCTGGTAAAACGACCCAGAAATCAAGGTCTTTGTTCGAATTATGCAAATTATCACCAAAACCAGCAAAATAAACGACGGGATACCGTAGGAAAGATAGATCAAAAAGTATTCCAGCATTGTCCGAGTGCTATGAAGCTCCGTAGAATGAATCAGTAGCCTCGCGGAACTTCCTACCAAGCACCGTCATACAAAACCTGATACTCTCTGGTGCTCTAACTTCGGTTTCAAGCCTCGTCACTTTCCCCTGGGGATGGGCCTGAAGATTGTTCCTGCTTTTTTCGAATTCCAGTCAGATTCCAAATGCAGATTAAAGATGAGGCTCCATATCTAGTCCTTTTCGGTTCAAAATCTCAATTTTATTACGCACCCGTGGGACAGAACATTTTTGTTCATTTTTCTGTAACCTTTTTGTGTCGTGGAGAAATTCTGCGAATTTGAGTAGCTCTTCGAACACCTAATGACTCTGTAGACGTTGTAGTGATTTTTTCTGCGCGCGCAGTCCCAGGTGGCCGCATTATTGACCGAACTACATATCTGGGCTGCAAAAGTTCTGCGGGCGTCGCTGGTGGATTCTTATTTGAGGGGTGGTTTTGTTTGAAGTATACCTCGTGCACAGAAAAGTAAGTTTTTTGGACTCGTGTTTTAAAGGGAGCAGGAGGGTCGAAGTGCATAATTCCTGGAAAACGGGTCAGCAAAGCGCTTTTTAATTAACTAAAACTATTTTTGGCTCTAAGTTTAACCTTGATCGGCTCGGTACCCTCGACTGTGCCGGTTTTTTTCTCATAGAGAAAATGGTCTGCCTTTTTGCGAATCGTAAATGTTGATCGCTGGCCTCATGGAAGTTTTTCTGCTTCGAAATTTTTTATGGTCTTGTTTTCAATTTTGTCGACGTTTTCAACCGATTTCCGTGCCCAAAACGAAGCAAAATTGGAAGAACAATCGGATTAACGCTGAGCTCATGGTACATACAATCAGGATCAGCCGAGCAGAGCAAAATGTTCAGCTAGCGTTCGGGCTCGGCCTCGCCTGGTAATGGTAAGGGTTGGGGCAATCAAATGACTCTGACGCAAGCAGTTTATCTATGATTCGATTGGCTCCGCGTCGTGCGCAGCGAAATCTCGTTGATCTCACCGGCCACCTTCGGGCGTATGACACGCGCGAAGCAGCGCTCAAAATACACCGAGTAGAAGCGCTTCCGGAGCTGCGCGTTGAAGATCAGCCCGATGTACGCCTCGCCGAGGGTGGAGAAATCGGAGACGACGTTCAACTGAAAGAGAAAAGCGTAATTAAATTTTTAGGAGGTTGGGAATTGTGAGGATCTACTAGTCGCCGGAACAGGTCGATTCTGCACTTCACAGGCCCTTTAAACGACCGGAGGAGGCAAATTATGGATTTTGAGAGAGAAGAGATGGTCTTCAAGTAATCGTAACGTACCACGATCCCCTGTAGTGTAGACGTCAACTTCAGAAGCGATACCCAGAGCTAAAAATGGATAGATTTTTCTGTGTTTTTGGCGTTCACAGACAATCTTTACGCTAGTTTTTTTCTCGTTCTACGGCAATTATGCGCTTGTGAACGTTTTGAACTTAACATTACGTGAAGCTTAGTCGCTCTGGTTGTTTTTACTTACCACAAATGCCATCAGCGCCAACTGTATCACGAGACTAGCAACGCAAACCAAGAACAACTTGATTTCAGTCCTTTTGTCGTCCGATAAGCTAAATAAAAGAAAGAAATATACTCAGGCTTTTTTAGTACCGTTTCCCCTTCAGCCGATAGTAGGCTAGGCGACAGAACGTAAGTAGGATTATAAGTAGTGAGGTAAGCGGGTACACCTGAGCCGAAATGTTGAGTAGCTTGTTGGAGAAGACGATTTGCTGAAAAGCGTCAAGGTTATTCATTTTTGGGACATTCTAAGGGGACCAGGAAGTGCAAAAATCGACACTATGCCGATTAGGTCTGAACGGATGACGACACTTTTAATTGCTGCGTAGCGGTCAAAAAAACTAAGTTTGAGCAGACGGATCCTCGCATTTTCGAATGCCATAAATAAGCCAATCGGGGACGATAAAAGAGTGTCCTTCAGCTTTACCGACCTTTGCGACGGTCGGTGTCTGCTTCGGATATCCCTCGGCGTCAATGTAGTAAATATCCTCTGCGAAGAACCCCTGATACGCCAATGAGCAGCCGAGGAGGAAGGAAATGATGCAGATCCAATTGACGATGCGTGGCTTCCAGATCTGAAAAGTAGGTAAGCGAAGGTATAGGCTTAGACGCCGGCTTAGGTTTAGGTCTAGACTTGGGCTTGGACCTAGGCTTATGCGTCGGATAGGCGGGCGCTTGGGCTGAAACTTAGGCGTAGATTTAGGCTTAAGCTAAGGCTAGGCTCAGGCTTCGGCTTAGGCATAGGCTTGCGTCCCGATTAAGCTAAGACTTGGGTTAGGCTTAAGCTTAGCTATCACGTAACACACCCTATTATGCACCAACGGCAGCCAGACGATAGTAAACCGATTCAGATGAAGTAGAATCAGGGCAAAACTTTGGCAGTGGAAAGCACCAATGTAGAACATGAAAAATATACGATAGGGTGGGAAGGCCTTCTCGATTCCTAGATATATGTTGGCGAATATCGTTAGGTCGCGGAATTTGAAGGTGATGTATGTGTTGAGGTAGGTGATGTAGTACTGGAAATGATTTGCATAAATTTAGCAAGGCTTGCACGAGAGTGGAGAGAGATAGAGAGACAGAGAGAGAGCAAGAGAGAGAGAGAGAGAGAGAGAGAGAGAGAGAGAGAGAGAGAGAGAGAACGAGCGTGAGAATGAAAAATAGTGACAGGCAGTGAAAGAGCGCTACAGCGAACGAGAGAAAGCGAGAGAAAGAGACAGAGAAATAGCGAGAGAGAGAGAGAGAGAGAGAGAGAGAGAAAGAGAGAAAAATAGCTAGATCGAGTGAGCGAGAGCGGAGCGGCACAGAGAGAACGAGAGAGACAGAGAGACGGACAGTGCGTGAACGAGAGAGACAGCAATAACGAGAGCCAGAAAGAAATAAGAAGAGAGAGAGAGAGAGCAGGAGATAGAGCAGGAGAGAGAGATACATTTTCCAACAAAATTCTTACCACAATCAACACATACAAATACAGCCTATAAAAGCTGCCCTTCAGAAAGTCCTTGGTCTTCAGAATACACGCTATCACCAGCGTCATCAGAATCAACGACGGAATACCGTAGGCCAAATAGATCAAAAACTGCGGCTTCATTGTAGTGAGAATGTTTGCCGGCACAGCTCATATCCTTTTCTCCAAATTTTCAAAAATAATCTATTAGTTGCGGGGGCTACGGGGCAGAACAAAATAGCCTGATTTTGAGCTCTTGCAAGCACCCAGACCCCTGGGGGATCGTTGCGGATGCTAATTCCAATTGATTCGAGACGGCCAGAGGAAATAGCGTAGTTTTTGAAGTGGTGAAAATGCTTCCGAGGTTTCTATGGAATTTTATGCACAGAATCTAGGTATTGGGCTTAAAATCACTGAAGTGAGCATTTTTCATGGCGCACGACACCGAGGAGTACACCAAAAAACTTCAGAATCAGGTGCAGTATTTATCGCGTAATTTCCACCTGCTTGGGACCATTTTTTACATACGGAGCTTTGTCCCGCAAATTGGCTCGTGGCGTGGAATAAATCATGTACAAAATTAATAAGAAACGACTAAGGTACTTAAAAATAGTTGGGTTCTGAATTAGTGGAATATCGGTGCAACAGGTTCGACATTACGACCCTTGCAGTGGTGAAATATCGAAATTCAGAATGTCCGAATTATGAATTTCGTCCACCGGAATTTCGGTATTCTCGTAGCAGCCCAGAAAATATCATCGTTTCGAGATCTAACTAGGCTATAAAAACGGCAGTTACGGTATCATTCCCATAAACATGCTATTTTTCTGTTTATGCCTCTAAATTTTAGAGATTCCTTTAGGAAATTAGCTTTAGAATTTAGATATTTTTCTTTTCAGGAAGATCAGACTCTGGAAGCGCAGTTGCTTTGCTTTAATCGAGAATTTATTTTGAAACTGTCCTGATTTTTTCACTGGATATAGGCGATATCGATTTTTCGGACCAGGAAACGTCGAATGTAAAGAGCAATGAAGCGGCGGCGTAGGTGTGAATTCACGATTAAACCGATATAGGCTTCAGCGAGGGTAGAGATGTCGGACACCAGGTTCAGCTAAAGCAATTAATTGTTTCTCTCTCTCTCTCTATCTCTCTCTCTCTCTCGCTTTCTTTGTCTCTGTCTATCTCTCTCTCCCACTCTCTCACTGTCTCTCTCACTCTCTGTCTCTTTATCTGTCTCTCTCACTCTCTCGCTCTTACCACCAAGCTTTGCCAATCCGACTTCAGCTTCATTGCAGAGATACAGACCTAAAACGGGGTAAAATGGTATCTATTAATTCTCGATACCACGCACGCCATCAACGCTATCTGTATCCATAAGCTGGCCATACACACTAGGAAGAGGTTGATTTCCAGATTATTGTCGGCCGCGATCCTGAGTTATCTTTCTTTCTCTATCTGTATGTCCTGTCTCTCTATATCTCTCGCTCTCTCTCTCGCTCTCTCTGTCTCTTGCTTTCTCCCTAGTTCACCTTTGTCCCTTCATTCGAAAATACGCTAATCGACCGAACGATAGAACATGGATGAAAAGCGATGTCAACGGATAGACAATCGACATTGTGCCGAGAAGGCGGTTGGAAAAGACGACTTGCTGGAAAATCGGAGATGAAGCGAGAGGTACAGATAGAGCGAGGGAGAGAGAGCAAGAGAGAGAGAGAGAGAGAGAGAGAGAGAGCGTGAGTGAAAATGATCCCACCTCCGTCGCCTCCATCGTCTGTACAGCATAACCTTCAAAGTTTTCCTTGTAGACATTTTGCACGAAAAAGCCTTGGTAACCAAACGAGAAGCCGATTAAGAGAGAGAAAAAGAGAGAGAGAGAGAGAGATAAATTTTTCTCACCTTCTTATGGGCCAGTGGAAGCCAAATGATGGTGAAACGGTTAAGGTGGAGCAGGATTAGCGCCAAGCTTTGGCAATGGAAAGCACCTGAAAGAATTCTAATTAGGTAATTTGAAAGCAACGCAAAACTTACCATAGCTAAAAACATAGAACAGTCGATAAGGTGGGAATTTGCATTCGATGCCGACATATACTGGGGTTAGTGATTGGAAATCGCGCAGCTTGAAGGCGACGTAGGTGTTCAGGTAAATCATAAGATACTAAAATATAATGAAGGGGTAGGTGTTAGGTAACACGATCATTAATTTAGTTGCTCACCACAACTAGCACATACAAATAAAGACGGTAAAACGATGAGCTTTTCATCAGATCGGGGCTCCGTAAGATACACCCAATTACCATAACCAACAGCAGGAGCGAGGGGATGCCGTAGCTTAGGTAGAACAGGAACTTTAGGTGCATTCTAAAAAATGACTGGATGTCTAATGAGTTTTCTAAATTGCAAAAATATTGAACCTGAAACTTCAAGAACTTAGATTTTCTTAAATTTAAGCCTTGAATTTGTTTAATTTCTTAATATAAATTCATGAAGCGTCGTAAGCCTACAACAAAAAAAATAAATTTCAGAATTTGTTGAAATATGTTCTAAATGATGGTAGCCTTTAAAATTTTGTAACAATTAAGGAAAGAAGCAACAAAGTAAACCTATTTCCGCTATGTTTTTTTCAAATTACAGGGATCCCCTAATCAAAAATACTTTCAAAAAAGTCATATTTGAATTTTCCAAATTTTCGGTTGGGCCTTCGCGCGGTCATACTGTAATGAACTAGCCAAGAATTTTTCTGAAGCCGTCTTTCGAGTTCCAGATGCACCCAAAGTGCTCACAATCGTGAGGCTTTGAAAGGTTGCAACGGGTAATTCAGCTAAATACAGCCCCCGTCTGGGTTCAGTGTAGTGCCTTTTTTTGCCCGAAATCGGCTCGAAATCGTTTGTTCGACGGCCGGAAATTGGTTGTTTCGCGCTGGCTGAAATGCGCGTGAGACGTTCTGAACCGAATCATTTTGCTCAAAATTGCCACTTGTGTTTAGGCAGGGAAGCGTATTTTGGAAATTGGCGACTTTGCCGAGGTTGCCATTTTGGTTACGGTACTTCCTTTAAATCGAACTTCCTGGGTGTTTCAAATCGTAATTGTTTTTTATTTCTGTTTGACTCTTTTTTCTGCTTTCGGCTTGGCTTAGGCTTAGCTTAGGCTTGGCTTAGGCTTAGCTTCGGCTTAGCTTAGGCTTGGCTTAGCCTAGGCTTAGCTTAGGCTTAGCTTGCTTTCGCTTGGCTTATGCCTAGCGTAGGCTTGATCTCCGCTTTCCATCGCGGACACTTGCACTTTTACATGATCCCGGCCAGGTTTTGGGGTCTAGGAAAATACGCAATTAGACCCGACGTTTCGTAGCGCCTGGTAAATACTCATTATTCTCAAGGCTTGTGTCTAAAGGTGGATCAAAATACTTTCTAGGATCTTGAAAGTTTCGGATTTCAGAGATTCATATGACCTTCTAGGGGTCAGAAAAACAATAAAATATCGCAATATAATCAATTATTTTCCAGATAAAGCAAGATTAGCCCATTCGCTAATGACGCCTAGTAATTGGAAATCCCATTTAAAACAGAAACGGGTGAGTACAAAGCACACAACAGACAGGGAATATGTTAGTATTTTCAGTATCCGGCACTCCGCTATCAGCTATCAGCTAGTTTAGATCGCAGCCGTTTGTTCAAAATAACGCCGAACCACGCCTCGCTCAACGTGGAGCCATCGGAAACGCAATTTAGCTAAACCCCTTTGCGTTAGGAAGTTTTCGATCCCTGTCATCTTGCTCCAGACTATTTTTTATTATCTATGTTTTTTCGCATTGTGTGCTTTTTAAAAAATTCCCCGAAAAATTGGCGGGGAAACTACGATACCAGAGGAGAGGTAGAACCTTCTAAAGTGCATTAAATTTAATACTTCAATTCTGCATTTACGCCTATCGATGCCTGCGGTTGTCGGCATTTTTCTTTTCAGAACCCATAATTTTTCGACATGTCCATATTTCGGCTATCGACAGGCCGAGAACACTTCCAAGACCTCGTCACGCTTCCGGCACCGTTGCTGAAGAAACCATTCCGCCATTTTTCCTCGCTTTTTCCCCCCGATCATACTATACATCAAATTCGTTGCCCATTCACAAAACACAACCAATTACGTGTTCGGCTGCAACCGCAGCCGCGGTACAACAGGGTTCCCCCGACGCTCCCCAAGGGCAACTTTTAGCGTTATGGAACATCTACGAAATCATGAATCTCAAAAGATCCAAAAAAATCAGCGGAAAAATCAAAAAATCATGGTACAGAGTTAATCTGCCAATTCCAGTACCACGTATGGGGTTCATGACACAGTCGTATCCAACACCTTCGGAAATTGCTCGTATTTAGCCCCGAAAAATCTTGATTTTTGGGAAAATACTGCCACTCCCGAACCGATGCACAAATTCTTCATAATATATCTAATCTACGGGATACCTTCAGTGATATTACTAGCCTTGGTAATGATTTGTATAATTAAGACGAAGACGCTGAGAACCGGACCGTTTTATAGGGTGTATCTGTTCGTGCTCGGTGTGGTGAGTCTAAAGAAAATTGGATTTACTCGGCTTAAGGCTCAGGCTTAGACATGGGCTTAAGTATAGGCTTATACCGAGGCTTTGGCTTGGGATTAGATCCGGGCTCAGCCTTAGGGATTTGGCTCAGGCCAAAGTTAGGCTTGGGCCGAGATCTAGGCTTGGGCATAGGCTTATGCAGCAAAGCCTTAGTTAAGCCCAAGCTAAGGAGACGTTTTTGAGTGTCGTCGGGACTTCGGCATGGGACGAAGCCTATCTTGTGCAGGATTTTACGCTGAGTCCGAACATGGTAACCGTTTTGCGGAATAGTCATTTCTCGAAAGTTATGGACGATTTAAACCTCAAAACAGCCCAAAATCGGCTACTTTCAATGGTCATAAAAGGCTTTGGAATAAGTTTTAGACAAAACCAAATAGTGCATCTTGTTCAGAAAAAATTCTCTATAAAATAAGCTACTTGACTAAAAAAATGTTGCAGTTATGAAAGTTTTTGTAAAATTATGGAAAATTTATCAAATTTTTCCAACTTTGCAATGATTTTTGGAAAAGCTGGTACATTTTATGAAGAATTTTTTTCTGAACAAGATGCACTATCTGGTTTTGTCTAGAACCTATTCCGAAGATTTTTATGACTATCGACAGTAGCCGGTTTTTTGGGCTATTTTGAGGTTTAAATCGTTCATAACTTTCGAGAAATGGCTATTCCGCAAAAATGGCTAACATAATAATAATTAACAATAATAATTCTGCACAAGATAGGCTTCGTCCCATGCCAAGGTCACGACGAGACTCAAAAACGTCTCCTTGTAGGCTTAAGTCTAACCCAAAAGTAAGCTTAAGTCTAAGCCTGAGCCCGAGAAATAAGGCTCTGATCACGGCCTCATCTTCGCCTGAGCATAAGCTTTAGCCTAAGCTAGCAAAGCCCGGATTATCCCTTTTAGCACCTCATCACCTACCTCAACACCTTTCCGGGTAGCAAATTTTTGGAGTTGCTGGTATTCGCCAATTTCTATCCGGGAATCGA